AATTCTGAAAAGTTACAAATATATCGGCTTTAGCTTTTAATAGGCCTGATTTAATAGGCCATTGACTTGTAATTTTAGCTTTGGCAAGCAAGAAAATTAGGGTCCAGTCACCCAGCTGCACAGCCAGACATGGAATAAGAAGGAAAAAATACAGAAATAGAGAAAAATAAAAGCCTAGAGGCAAAAGGTAGACAAGATAATTTAAGAAAAACTGGTTAGAAACATGCCAAGGTAAGACTGGGCATTTATAATTAATAGTAAGAATCTACGTGTGTTTATTTGGGAGCAGGGTAGTGGGCCCCCCAAAAGCATAAAGAGTAAAGAGTAAAACAAACAACCAACTACAAGCACCCATGTCAGATGGCTCACAAATGTTTATAAGTCATTTCACGGACCTGGCATGCTTTTCTGGCTTCCTAGCGTACTATACTCACCTGGTGAAAATAAACACATTCAAGCACATGCATACACACACTGTTTAAAGCTGTTACCTTGTTTCTTTTGTATAACTTTGTAGTAAGGAGTGGTGGGCTGAGTTCCTGCTGCCCCAGTTCCTGGCCGCCTGGTTAGCTTATGCCCCGAAATAATTACACGGAAACTGTATTCATTTAAACACTGCCTGGCCCATTAGTTCTAGCCTCTTATTGGCTAATTCTCACATCTTGCTTTAACCCATATTTAATTATCTATGTAGCACCATGAGGTGTGGCTTACCAGGAAAGATCTTAACCTGCATCTATGTCGGGTGGGAGAATCATGGCGACTGCCTGGAGAGGAGAGGCATGGTGTCTGGCTCAGTGCCTTCTTCTTCCCAGAGTTCAGTTCTCTTTACTCTGCCTATCTAAGCTGCTGTCCTATCAAAGGACAAGCAGTTTCTTTATTAACTAACCAATGAAAGCAACAGATAGATAGGACACCCACCTCCATCATAACTTGGTTTTATTCCCCTTCTCTCTGTATTCCAAGTTCCTCCATGCTCTTTTCATAGGATAAGTCCTATTTCAGCATCATGAGTCCCCCAGAGACCACCAGGAGTCCTAGTTCATATGCAAAGGCAAACGGCCTTTATTGCAAGTTTGAGCTTGGACTCTAGTCTGTTCTGTCACAGTGGCTGGATCAGGGAGAGCATTGAGCTCAGCCATGGCATGGTTTGTAAGGATCAATGGATGGGGTGGAGTGGAGAAATTCTGGATTCAGATAGGGTTTGAACTCCTGACAGGGCAGTAGTGAGGTAACAGAAGTCCTCTCAAACTCGGATTGATACTAGTGTTGCTACAAGGAAGTTGGGAAACTATATACAAGATAAGTAAGGTATCCTTGATGTTTGGAGCATCTAGTACTTGTTTGCCTCAATGCTGATTGGTTCCCTGCAAGGTACAGTCTGTGGCTTTTCCTGTTTATTGTAAGGGTGAGGCCTAGTCTCATTATTGCTATTCTGCAGCCTGTCATTGCTGCACTAATATTAAGTTAGAGCTCTTCAATAATTTCCTAAACTGGATGGATGATAACTCTGTTCAGTTTCCTTTGTTTGAGTTTACTTGAGTGTCATGTTTGAATAGTTTTCCCTTTCTAAGATTACAAAGTGGGTGAAGGTTGGAAGCTGAAGGTGATTCAAACTAAGAACCCCCAAACTCATGCTATGCCCAAAGTCCAGATCCCTGGAATATCACCATAAGACTGAATCTGATGCCAAAGCAAGAGTCTTTATTGTGAGGTAGCATGGGCCTCCCTGTAGGTGAGAAGAAGGAAGAGGGAAAAGGAAGAGGAGGCAACAGTGGTTGCAGCAGAAGCAGAGCTGGAGAGACCCTGAATCATGTGGAGATGTGGTTAATATAGATGGGAAGGCTGGCTTGCTAATGGCTGCCCCCAATGGGGTGAGGGGGCTGCCCCCTTCTGATTGACTTCTCCAATAAAGGGGAGGAGCCCCTGGTGTCAGGAATCAGGGAGAGGTCACACCTCTAGACAAGAGGTTACTGCTCCCATTTGCTAAATTCTATGAGGAATCCTGTCTCCAGACTGGATGTTACTTCTTCCCTACTCAGGGATTGGTCGGGTTTTCCTGATCAAAAATTGACTGGTTTCATGTCAGGGGCAGAGAGTGCTCTGATTTCAGGACCAAACTGCATTTCTTTTTTCTGGTCCCTTTTCTCTTTTAGGGACAGGCTCTGGTTCTAGGGGCAAAGTGTGTTTCTTTGGTTCTGGTTTCAGAGTCAGGGTGCTTTTCTCTTCTCTGGGCCCAGGGATAAAGTATTTCTTTCACTGACTCAGGTCCCAGATCCAGACTATCTCTTTCACTGGCTCTGCATTCAGAGCCAGGGTGCTCAGGGATTATGCCAAGGCTATGGATCTGCTGGGGCTCGGATCTATCACTCAGGTGACCCTTCAAATGACCTCGAAGGGATGACCACTGAACAATACATTTTCCTGCAGTAATCTTTAAAGTTTCCAGGAAGAGGATGGGGCCCCACAGCAACAACTCCACCTGGCACATATGACGTCATGATGCTGATAGTGCTACATTAAGATCTGTTTTGGGTACCAGCTGCTCAAGATGATTCCAACTTGGTTAGCTGAAATGGCACATCTTACAACGTTCTGGCCAGAACTTTAAATAATAACTTCAGAAAAACCCTACCAAGTCCTCAGAGACTATTTGCAATTTTACTAGACAGTAATCTTGAAACTTAACTATCATTTCAGATTCACAAGATCCCATAGAAAGAACATGGCCCCCATGATAGCTGGAAATATCCTAACTAAGTTTGTCCTCAATGTTTGGTACATCTATTAGGGTTCTTTAGAAGTGGTATAAAGGGAGTTTGGGGGAAATTATGTAGGCTCAGGGATCTCTTTAAAAAATAATAATAATAAAGAAAATGGATGGGATAATAGGTAGATAAGTGTGAGCTTACTCACACTATTGATACTAGTGAGTAACAGAGTGAATACTTGTGAGCTATTATTTATAGACAGTTTACATTGATGTAGATCTTTTTCTTTTTCTTTCTTTCTTTTTTTTTTTTTTGAGACAGGATTTCTCTTTAGCTTGGAGCCTGTCCTAGAACTATCTTTGTAGACCAGGCTGGCCTCGAACTCACAGAGATCTGCCTGCCTCTGCCTCCCCAGTGCTAGGATTAAAGGCGTGTGCCTCCACGGCCTGGTGATATAGATTCTTGTATATTGATACAAATTAAAATTATATTGGTTATATTAAATATGCTCCTATTTCTTTTTATAATATTTGAGCACCTATGCAAACTTATTTTGCCATATTGTGTGAATGCATGTTTCTAACTCTGGTTAAGATATTTGCATATTGATGCAATTTTAGGATATATACATCATATATCCTATGCATATATTGCATTACACATTTCTACCTCTAATCAAGTTTCTTACACATTGTTTACATTTTGAGGTTATTGTCCTCATTTGCTGCACAGTTGTCTAAAGAAGATTTAATATTCTAAGAAGAAGCCTAGTCTTTAAACTATATAGGTATTAAGAATTATAGGTCAATAGTCATCCAAGTTTGTCATACTTATAGTTAGACTAATCAGGTTCTTTACATACACAGAGACTGTATTCTGCATAGATAGGTAATCTTCAATCACTTCACAGAACTGCAGAATATGGCATTCAAATAAGTTAAGATTCTGTTGATGTGAGACATGATAGCTCCTGGCAGCACCAATCTATTCTCGAGAGAATGTTGAGCTCTGAAGACACTCCACTTGGAGCTCGTTTTTTTTTTTTTCTTGCTAAACTGGCCTTTGGGCACAGAACTGCCCATGTCTCAACCACTGACAAAATGCACAGTGTCCAAAAGGACAAGTAGGATACAAGAAAAAAGACTGCCAATCCTTGCCAAGACATGGTAAAACAGTTTTAAAAATTTTCCTGCCTCTGACAAATGGTCTGTTATTCTAGGCCTTAGCCAAATTTGGTTGTTCTAAGATTGCAAAGAAACTTGAGTGATTGCCCAGGTATCTGGTTGACTCGGTCAATATATGAATCTTTAGATAGTTGTTTGATTGTGCTTCCTATTTTCCCAAGTAGTATTATTTCCCTTCTCAGGTCTTCTATGGAGTTAAAGACTATATAGTTAGTTGTAGTTACTTCTCTCCCATGACTTAGACAAGCCTTTCTAATAAAAGACTTAGACTCCTTAGGATAGGATACGTATTAAAACATTTAGCCTGTGTTTCTTGTTTGATATTGTTTATGCTGGTTGTAATTCTAATTTTTATACTTGATATTTGTCCTTATTGTATATAGTTTTGTATTATGCTTAGAACTCTTTTATTTTAGACCAAAGGGAGGTGATGTGGGAACTCATTCAGGCAGTAGCCTTTAAGATATCAGACCACTTTGGGTGTGGTGAATTGTATATTATATAAATGTAAAATTTTGCACAGCATCTTGGCTGCTGAATTTGGTTCCCTATTCTCCACTCCTTCAAAGGACTACTGCTCTGTGAGTCTCAAATAAATAACCTTTTACTACAGTCCATTCTGAGCCATTGTGGGATTATTTTATTATAATCTACAACAGACACGGTCCCTGACAAGCTCTAGAAAATCATCGTTTAACACACAGTCTTCCAGAGAAAGGTGGGAAAGCTTCGCGATTAGAATATTTTTGTCTTCAGGAAAGCTAACATCCACAAGTTAGGAGACAATCTAGTTACAGTGGCACTTCCGCCCGGGAAAGGCAAGGAGGAGCCCTAAGAATTATGGGAAATGTAGTCCGAGACGCGCCCACCGCAGGACACTAAGATACTTTCCATTGCGGGCGGCTTAAAGGACCAACCTACTCTGTCGCGAATTTTGGGAAATGTAGTCTGTCACAGTCCCATCGTCATTACACTAGGATACCTTCCGTCGAAAGAGAGTTGGAGGGCCGCCATACTCTGTCGGGAATTTCGGGAAATGTAGTCCGGAAATCCTAGGTTCAAAGCTAACTTCCTCTGCACGAGTCTGTGTCGTCTTGATCCCCTAGGAATTCTGGGAAGTGTGCTCCCGGTGGCCTGTGCGGGAATAGTCACTTCCGGCCCAGGTGTGCGAGGCCGTGTCCCGCGTTCCTCTCAGAAAGGTGAGCCCTCCCTCTGCTGTCCCCTCCCGCATCTTCCCGATAGTTTTCAGGTTGTCCGAGGCGATAGGCAGCAGGCGTGGATGCTGGGAAGGAAATCCGTCTCAGTAGGGCAGGAGGCGAGTTTGCTGTGAATGAGCCCGCCGGAGCGTGCCGCGCTTGCGCACATTGACTCAGATCTGGCCGGGGCTGTCAGTCACCGGGATGGAGGGTGTCATGGGAGCCGGGAGCCCCCAGCCGTCTCTCTAGCCACTGTCGGAAATGCACAGTCGTCTACGTCTATGCCCCGTTTCTTCCCCAACATTGGTACCATTCGAAGAACGAGCTCGTGTTTGCTGCAAGGCTCAAGACAGCGGGCGCCCGGCACCAGCTCTTAGTTATTATTTTGCTCTTAGTGCTTTCCAGATTTCGAGGAAGCGCCCCAGTCCCTGGAAGCCCCAGTGACCCACAGATGGTCTCAGAGCTCCTGCTGTAGGGTCCTTGGCCCCAGCCTGACCACACCTCACCCCTCTTACCATATCCTTAATGCCTGGGTTTTTCTGTTGCTATTTGATGGGATGTTAAAGAATGTCCATTCCAAAGATGTTAAAGCCATTTTAGAATGTGCAAAGGGTGATGTGTATGAATTCGTGATTACTACCCTAAATACAGGCACCGTTCAGAGTGAGATGAAGGTTGTCATGTGGGCTGTTAACATCAGTGCCAGCAAGAATAGTCTCATCAATAACTAACGCTAGGTAGGTGTTTGTTATGCACAACCCCAATAAAACTCATTGGGTCACCATGTTGGACTTTTTCGGCAATCATTGGTTCTCTATCTGGAACGAGTAGACGTTTATTTGGTCATGTCTCCCCATGAGTATTGTCACACAATTATTGGGGTTACTAACAGGAGTATGGCTGAGGGGTTACTTATAGAAGCAGAAATGACTCAAAGTTAGCTGCATCACCAAAGCCCCCTCCAGCATGGTGACAGCTCACAAAGCTGGAAACCCGGAGCACACTGCCATCTGCAGGCAGGTCAGCCAGTTGGAGAGCGTCCTTCCCAGGTGCCGCACTTGTTCTGAATCTCTGTCAGCTCAGCTGGTCTGTGTTTTGGGGACTTCTGCAGGTGTGAGCATCTTCTAGGCAGCTTAGCTTGCTGAGATGTCGCTCAGTATTCTTTACTGCTTATAAAGGTCTGGGAAGGGTGAGGTCTAGTGAACCTGGTCAGAGTCTGATACTTCGTGAAGCTTTGGAGTTGTTCATTTCCTGAACTTTATTGAGTTTCCCTGCATGGTGGAATATTTCACCTCCCCATAGAACACCCTCCATCTAAGGAGGGTCCCTGAGGGGTGGGATGTTTTTTCGTAGAAGACTTTGCTATACAACATGTTCATGATGCAGCCCCTCACTAGGGGATTTAAGGCCGGGCCTCTACCACTGAGCCATGCTCCAAACCCCTCACTTGGGGATTAAGGCAGGGGCTCTAGCACCTAGTCATACTCTAGTCTCTCACTGGGATACAGGAACAGTTCTCTGATGAAGAGTAGAATTCACTTCTCGGGAGTCATGGGGACAGAGAGAATTGATTTCTTACATTGCTGTCCACTGCTGGCGCACAGAATCCCAGCAGCCGTTAACACTGAATGCTAACACTCTAACAGCCCTCTTGCAGATGGCAGATTTGAAATGTAACCATAGCTAATGAACGTAGCTATGGTTACTCCATGAGCACACACATTAGCACCACACACCTTTGAAAGAATGACTTACAGTTATTAGCGAGTGTGTAATGACAGAAGCTCATGTCAGAGGACCGCCTGTGGGAGCCAGTTCTTTCCCTCCATGTGGGTCCTGAGAAGTAATCTCAGGTCATCAGGCTTGGCAGCAAGCACTCTTTCTGCTGAACCATCACAGCCCAGCACCAACCTCTGAACACAGGAAATTTGTCCTTGATGCTGCTTGCTTGGAGCCAAAACCCTTTTTGGCCACGATTCCCAGGATGGGAGTGAACATCTGGGGGATGCCCGGTATGAAGTAAGAACACCTGGGAAGGCCGTCCCTGCCTGTAGCCTAGGGTGGGACATCCTGGGGGTAGCTGGAATGTGACTTGATTTGCAGCATGTGTGTGCCTGCCTCTGGAGGCAAGGGGCACCTGGATCTCACCTGGCCAAGCTTGTATTTTCCCTCTCATGGCGTCTGTCATCCTGTCCTGTCTTCTCAGGTCTGCACCATTTCCTGGAAGAAAGGAGGAGAAAATGGCCCAGTTGCAGGTGAGGTGATTTTCAGCTGTGCTGTACATGCTCTGTCTTAGAGTTTCTGTTGCTCTGAGAGGTACCATGACCCCTGCTTTTATAAAGAAAAGCATTCAATTTGTGATGGCTTACAGTTCAGATGTTAGTCCTTTGTTATTATGGTGGTAGCATCCAGGCAGCTGTGGTTCTGCAGAAGGAGATGAGAGTTCTACATCTTGATCCACAGGTAACAGGGGACTGTGTGCCGTACTGGCCTTAACTTGAGACCTCAGAACTTGCCTCCACAGTGATACACTTCCTCCAACGCCTTCTTCAACAGAGCCACACCGCTAATAATTCTACTCCCTGTGGGCCAAGCACTAGAACACACAAGTCTATGAACAGTATAAAAGGGAATAGAAATTTAAAAATTAGTCACATCATTATCTTGCTTACAATGTCCCCATGGCCATTTAAAGCTACACCCCTAGCTCTGTTTGCTGTGCTGTAGTGTGGAACTGGCATGTTTTCCACTAGCCGTGGTGTGCGTTCCAACTCTTGAGTGGATTGCATTGAGTTGTTCGCCACCCACAAACTCGGAAATCCCTGAGGCTCCCACAGTTTGATGTCTCTGTGTCCTTTTCCCTGTGGAGAGCCTTGGCTCACAAGACTGCTCTGAGGCTGGCCGTGTGGCCCAGGGAGCGACACTCACCTGGCATTGGGCAAATGTCGACATTTGTCCCTGGTACCACACAGTGATGAAATGCAACATGAGCCGCGGTCTGAGAGACCTGTCACTCCTGAGCCTTCTAATATGTACATATATACATGTACACATACGCACGTGCACATAGCATACACATCAGTGCATCTGTATACCTTTCCCGTAGGGGACAGCTGAGAAACTTTATTGTGTTTTTCTTTTGTTTTTCAAATTTATTTTAAGATTTATATATTTTTATTTTGCCTATGAGTGATTTCCCTGTATGCACAGCTGTGAGGCATGTCTTTCCCAATGGAAGAGAAAGAGGGCGTCAGATCCCCTGGAACTGGAGTTACAGATGGTTGTGAGCTGCCATTTGGGTGCTGGGAACCAAACCTGGGTTCTCTTCTCTGCAAGAGCAGTCATTGCTCTTAACCACAGCACCTCTAAGCTCTTTCATCAGGGTCTCTGATACTCTGGGAAGGGTTGAATGGGAAGAGAGAGAGAGACAGAAAGATTTCACTATTTAGCCTTGAATATATTGAATGTGAAAGTTCTCCACACTGTAGGCCGTAGTCATTGTCCAACCATCACCTCATTCACAGGCCTGAAGGAGCCAGGAATAGTCATGCTGTTCCGTGAGGATGGGGGAGCCATGTTCCTTCAGGATGTTGTGTGTGCTGGGGCCTTTGCCTTCTAGGTCAGGATAGTCAGCCTTGTTTAGTGTAAAGTCAGAGTGCAAAATCAGAGTACATTGCAGAGCAGGACAGAGTAGGGCAGGGCAGAGGAGGGCAGGGCAGAGCTCTCCATCTGTAGCCAAGGGCAAGCTGCTCAGAAAGTCCTGTGGAGCAGGTATAAGCTTTAACAGGTCTGCAGTATAAACATCAAAGATTTCTCTATAGCAAACCAGATAACAAAGCAATACTCAAAAGGTTTACAATGTAAACGGAAGTGAAAACAATCCTGTGTGTACAGTGACGTTCTAGAAGAGGAAATAGTGAGAGTGAACGAGGGACAGTGAGATGGCTCAGTGGTAAGGGAGCTTGCTGCGAAGGCTGATGATTGAGTTAGATCTGTGGGACCAACAAATTAAGAAAGAACTGACTCCCCAAAGTTTTTATCTGACCTCCACATATGCACCATGGCATGCATGACCTCCATGACACACACACACATACACACACACACACAGATAAATAAAAAATAACATTTAAAAAATATTATGTGACAAAAGAATAATTTTTACTAAATTGACTTAGTGAACTTCAAGTCAGTATATACTATTTTATGAAGCAATGTGGAAGGAGTTGGGGAGATGGCTCAGCAGATATGAACACTTGCCTCACAATCGCAAGGACCTGAGTTCAATCCTTGGAATCTGTGTAAAACACCAGATGTGGTGGTGCCCATCTATAATCCCGCTGTGGAGTACATGGGAGAACCAGCTGGAGGCTGGCAGACTAGCTAGCCTGGAATACACAGTACTGCAGAAACAGCAAGAGAGACGGCCCTGCTCTGTGTTTCTGCAAGGTTGAAGGACCGGGCCAACTCCTGAAAGTTCTCCAGATACATGCTGTGCCACATGCACAGGTGTGGGCAAAATGCACATACATACTCATAGACTACACATTTGTGCGTGCACATGAGCCTGCATCCAAAATATGTACACAAGCACACACAGATAGGATGATTTCTTTGCAGCCCTCATGGCGGGTGGGCTCAGCAGATGGAAGGCAGGCAGAGACAGGTACTTCCAGCTAAGAGGCTCTGAGTCCCACAAAGTCCTCCCTCCACATCTCAGCCTCACCGCTTCTGTAGTTATAACCCGCAAGTTTTGCTGTCCCAGGAGATGGTGACGTTCAGGGACGTGGCTGTGATCTTCAGCGAGGAGGAGCTGGGGCTGCTGGACGCTGCCCAGAGGAAGCTGTACCGTGATGTGATGCTGGAGACCTTCAGGATGCTGCTCTCAGTGGGTGAGGATGGGGTCTGGGTTTCCCGGATGAGCGACTGGGACCAGTACTGGGAGCCTGGGAACTGCTGGAGTTGTTGTCTGGGCTTGGTTGTCTAACTGGAAGCACAGGTTTCTCATGGCTCCGTCCATCTGTCCTTTGAGCTCTATATGGGAGCCTGCTTGGTTTTATTAACTTGACACAAGCTAGAGTCGTCTGGGAAGAGGAGCCTCACTTGAGAAAATGCTTCTGCCAGGTTGGCGTGTGGCCAAGTCTGTGTGGGATTTTCTTGATTGATTATTGCTAAGATTGTGGCCCAGCCCACTGTGGGTGCTTGCTCTGCCAGGTGCCTCTGAGCTTTGTAAGGAGCAAGCCAGTAAGTAGCACCCTCCATGGTCTCTGCTCCAGCTCCTGTCTCCAGCCCCTGCCATGAGTCAGGCATGACTTCCCACCATGAAGAGCTTCAAGGTATAAGACGAAATAAATCCTTTCTCCCCCAGGACCTTTTGTCATAGTGTGTACAGGAAGTAGAGTAGGACAGTGGATACAGAGGGCCCTTTGCATTGGTTTACATATAAAACCATTTACAATGTGCTTCTAGCTAGTTTTGTTTTATAGGTTGTGTGGTAGTTCCTATTTATTAGTCCATTTCACTGGGAGGTATGTTTAAAATATATTCAGTGTGTGTGTGTGTGTGTGTGTGTGTGTGTGTGTGTGATTGTGTGCGTGCACACACACACACCATGTTGAGGACAGGTGCCTACAGAGGCCAGAGAGGGCTTCAAATTTCCCACTACTGGATTTAAGAGGTGGTTGTAAGCTGCTGTGTTGGTGCTGGGAACTAATCTTTGGCTCTCTAGCAGAGTAGCCAGTGCTTTTAACCTCTGAGCCATCTTTCCAGCTTGAGAGTTCTTTTTGTCCCTTCCTCCCTCCCTCCATTCCTCCCTTTCTTTGGTTTTTATTTCTTTGACTCAGTGTCTCATATAACCCAGGCCAGACTCTTCTCAAACTTACTATATAGCTATGGGTGATCTTGAAACTGCTCTGCTTTCTCTACTTCCTACTCTTTTTATCTACTATTTGCAAAAGACATCATCAAACTTTTGATTTTCTTTCTTTTTTTTTTTTTTTCTTTTCTTTCCTTTTTTCCTACTACTAGCACACCAGCCGTTCACACTAGGCCTGATAGCCCAGCTGGAGAATGAAGAGGAGCTCTGCATGGTGGAGGCCCAAGGAGGTGAGATCTCAGGTGGGAAAGATGCTGCTGGACCAGTGGGCGGGAGTGCTTTCCCTAACAGGGGCAGAGCATAGCATTTCTCTTCTTAATTCTCCACTGGTCCCCACTTCACAAATAGCATAATGACTTTTAAAGTGCTTAGAGCAGGGCTGCTGAGAAGGCTCCTTGGGTAAGGCTGCTTGCCCCAAGCAGAGTTCCTTCCCTAGACCCTTTGTGTTTTCTGGGGGAGTAAGCTGACTCCCTCAGGTTGTTCTCTGACCTCCACAGTCATACCATGGGTGGAGCGAACACATATACACACATACAGAAAGAGAGGCCACACTCACTTATACTCATATTCATGGTTATAAAGACAAAAACATTTTTCCACATTGGGAATATCCGCTTTTGTTTTTTCTACTGAATCACCTAACAACCCATGATGAAGCACAGTGTTGGCTTATAGTTCTCTAGAACTTTTGAATGCGACCACATTTGATACCCAGATTTTGTTAGGAAAACCCAGATATTTTTGTTGTTCTTGTTTTTTTTTTGGTATTGTTTTATTTTATTATATTTATTTACTTATTTTTTTTGGTTTGGTTTTTGGAGACAGGTTTTTCTCTATGTAGCTCTGGGTGTCCTGGAACTCAGTCTGTAAAGCAGGCTCGCCTTGAACTCACAGAAATCTGCCTACCTCTGCCACCATAGTGCTGGGATTAAAGGTTGCTCTACTACTGCCCTGCAGAAAACCCACATCTGAGGCCCCCACAGAGCCTTGGTTTTGTGTCTCCTGTGTGCGTCAGGTGTTTTGTCAGTCTCCACAGAAGCAGTGTGGCCTGTCTGTCTCCTGATGTGAGCCACGTGTTACACACCAGCATCTCTCAGTAAGATGTTCACTTGTGTGTTTGTCTGGATTCTCATCCTATAGGAAGCCAGGGTGGACGTGCTGTGGAGAATGATGAAGACATGGAGTTAAGCTCCCTTTGTCCCAGAGAGCTCTCCTCCTGTCAGACCTGGCCACAGGGTGCAGGCTTGTTACCCAGGGATCAGGATTCCATGAAAAGATGTCTAAAGAGCAACACTGAGTCTCAGAACCAGGGAGATTCTTCCTTCCTGGTGTGCGCAGGGCGGCTGGTTCAGATTTCTGAGGATGGGAACTACGTGTTGCCTCCTGTAGATGATGACTCTGCCTCTCTGAGAAGTCAAGAGTTTCCTTCACTGAGAGCCCAGCAGTCTTGGCAGGAATCACATCTCAGTGGGTCATGTAATCGTCAATGGAAAGGTCAGCGAATGCCCACGAGAAATCATTTCCGTGGATGTGACAGCGTCAGTTGGTTCTCATACCACAGTGACAATGAGGGGTTACACAGAAAGGGGGAAAGCTATAGTTTCCATGACCTCAGAGAAGAGACCATGAAGGTATCTTCACTTAAGCAGGACTTCATTAAATTAGGGCCGGTGCCCTGCCCATGTAGTAAGTTAAGAAAAGCCTGTGGCCATGGTGACAACATTGAGCCTGGCTCTCACACACATCAGCAGTTGAACTCAAGAGGGAAGCATTGTCCATGCAGTTCACATGGTGAGGGCTGTCAGGACAGGTCAGCTCTTCACTTCCATCAGAGTGTGGAAACAGGAGATGAAGGTACGGCTGAGAGTTCTCTTCTGTGGTCCCCTCTGAGACTGTGTACAGAGCAAATGCTGTGCCAGGGCAGTGAGAACGCCCATCATGCCTACCCTCTCAACCCTTGTGGAAGTGTCCACCCGGGCGACACCTCCCAGAAGAGCGGCATCCCTGAGAAAGCTTTGCCTTGTTGTTTACACTATAATAGAAATTTTATGGTCCACACTAGGGAAGAGCCCAACAAGTATGAGGCGAATGGGAATGTTTCTAGTCAGAGTTTGTATCTTCAAGCTAATCAGGACATCCACGGTGAAGAAAAACTACATCCAGGTGTGGTGTGTAGAAAAGATTTCACACATTGCTCAAATTTTAACACTGAGCACAAAGTTCACATGGCAGAGACTGTCTATAACTCTGAGTGTGGTGACCACTTCAGTCTGCCCCCACATTTCCAGGACTTTTCAGCAGTGTACCCCAGGGAACAACCACATAAACATGCATGCAGTACAAGCTTCGAACAAAAATTGTGTATTCCAAGCCATCAACAACTTGACGTCCTTGAGAAACCTACTTATAAAGAGAGTGGGAATGGCTGCAAGTGGAGTTCTAGCCCCCAAGATCAGCAGAAACCTAAGCCACACAAATGCAACACCTGTGGGAAAGGCTTCAGTGACAGATGGGTTCTTACCATTCACCAGAGAGTCCACACAGGAGAGAAACCATATCAGTGTAAGGCGTGTGGGAAGAGCTTCAGTCAGAGTGCCTACCTACACTCCCACCGGAGAGTTCACACTGGAGAGAAACCATACAAGTGTGAGGAGTGTGGGAAGGCCTTCAGTCGGAGTTTCTACCTGCAAGGCCACCAGAGAAGTCACACTGGGGAGAAACCATACAAGTGTGAGGAGTGTGGGAAGAGCTTCAGTCGAAATTCCTACCTGCAAGACCACCAGAAAGTTCACACTGGAGAGAAACCATACAAGTGTGAGCAGTGTGGGAAGGGCTTCAGTCGGAGTTCAAACCTTCAAGGTCACCGGAGAGTTCATACAGGAGAGAAACCATACAAGTGTGAGGAGTGTGGGAAGGGCTTCAGATGGAACTGTAATCTTCAAATTCATCAGCGGGTTCACACAGGAGAAAAACCCTATAAATGTGGAAAATGTGGCAAAGGCTTTAGTAAGGCCTCAACTCTCCTGGTCCATGAGAGAGTCCACATGGGAGAGAAGCCTTACCAGTGTCTCGAGTGTGGGAAGGCCTACAATAGGTATTCCAATCTCCAGATACATCACAGAATCCATACTGGGGAGAAGCCATTTAAATGTGAGGTGTGTGGGAAAGGTTTCACCCAGAAGTCAAATCTTCAATCTCATCAGCTTGTCCATACTGGAAGGAAACCTTACAAGTGTGAGACATGTGGTAAGGGATTCAGTAGGAATTCAGGTCTTCTGATGCATCAGAAAGTCCATAGCAGTGATAGTTTCTATAGGAGGGAAGAGTATAGGAATGGTTCCCATCCTTCTGAGAACCTATGCAGAGATGAAGGCCTGTCAAATACTGTTCTGTTTTGTTAATATAAAGTAGTGTTTATACCTAACATGAATGCCAGTGGTTGTTGGGAAACAAAACAGAATAGAGATTCATCAAGTGTTTGCCAACATCTCAACAAGCTCTTGTTAGAGGATCAAGAACTTCTTACGAATGTAAGCAGGAATTAGCAAACGTTTGATTATATGTGGGAGTTTCATTTCTCAGAGCCAATTGGTCCCAAATATCTGGACCCCGAAGCTGCTTCCCAAATTACCATGCAGAGGCTTAATATTACTTACAAATGTTGGATTAATAACTCAGGCTTAATATTAGCTATCTCTTCCAGTTTAACTGATATTCCTTAATTATGCACTGGTATGTGGTGGTCTCTGTTCTCAATATGGCGCACCCATCTTGCTCTTTCTTGTGTTTACCTGAGTCTCCTGAACCTGCCCATTTTTATCGCTTATCATCCTTAGTTTGGTTGGCCCAACTATACTTTCTGCCTGGTTACTGGCCAGTCAGCCTTTCATTAAACCAGCTTGTGTGACAAATCTTTACACTGTGCAAGATAATTATTCCACAGCATTTCTTCCTTTTGTCCAATTAAAAAGTAAGTTTTGATGATACAAAATTGACTATTAATCAGTTACAAGAAATATAAATCATCCCTTTTATGTAGCACATATTAGATCCCATTTGGTCTGCTGGGCCCTCTAGTACAACATAGTGATGAAATTCATTAACTTGTTTGAAATGTGCTAGAACCCTCAGAGTTTCATAAGAAAAATAGCATTTCAATAGCAAGAGTTTGAAAAAAGATTTTTCTATCACTTGGTATCAATACAAGAAAATTATAAGGCAATGCAAAGTTTTTTATACAGTTAAACTCCAGTACCTGCAGGAAGAAACCCAAAGGGTACTCAATGAAATGATCTTTGGCTGGTGGATGTGTTTCATTTGGCAGAATTTGGAACATTAAAATATGTCCACCATATCATAGGTACATATTCAGGATTTCCGTGGGCCACTGCATTGAGTTCTGAAAAGGATGATTCTATAGTCACAGATTTGTTAGAAGTTATGGCCCTTATGGGTATACCTGTACAAAGTAAGACCGACAGTACTCCAGCATATGTCTCCAGTAAAATGATAGTTTTTTTTTGCGTATTACAATGTAACGTATATTACAGATATACCATCACAATCACCTGACAAGCAGTTATAAGCAGATCAAATTGAATTCTTAAAAAATAGGCTTAGTAGACATAAAGGAGCAATTATGATCCCCAGGAAAATGATTGAATAATTCTTTATTAACTTTAAATTATCTAAATGCTTATGAGAAAGGAGTTCTTTGGAGAGGCATTTGATAATAGAAAATAATATTGAATTAAATCAACCTTTATACTTTAAAGATATGTTGACCTCAGAATGGAAACAAAGATAATTGTTATGTTGGGGAAGTGGTTTTGCTTTTGTTCCCACAGGAACAAAAATTGATAAAGATTAGATTTGAATAAGAGAGACTTCTTCATTAGAAGTGGTTCATTAATAGTTTTGCATGACTAATCTCAATTAACTTAGACAAACAGGTAATGCTTTGCATATGATCAGATATAACTTGTCAAAAGGAGCCTTTCCAGTGTTAGGATTGGGGCAGGGTTTTTTTTGTTGTTGTTGTTTGGTTTGGTTTTCTTTTGCTTTTTTAGTCTTTTCACAGGAATGAAGGCATTCAGCTAAGGAATCTGAAGACTTGGAAATATGAGATATCTGAAGAAAAAGAACAAACAATCAAGAATAAATGTCCCAAGAAAAAGTAAATTAGCTTATTAGTACATCATATCAAACAGGATAAATTTTTATAAATCTTCCCAAATGGTTGTTTCTGCTGTTCTTTACAGACATATAATGCAATTTTTTTTTTTTTTGTAAAACTTAAAACTGGCTTTGGAGTTGGTAACCCTAAGCATGATTATTAAAGTAAATCCAAAATCTGTGTTTCATGTAAGAAAAACTACCTATTATTGGGCAAAAGAAAAAAAAAATTACGGGACTATTATATTCCCACTAATCATATAACCCTTTAGTTTTACTTTCACTTTTTAAAGTTTTTCTAAGGTTTAAGTATTATCTCAATTTATAATATTGATATATGTGTGTTTTAAAGTTTTTGTCATATTAATGGTCATATAGAGTATTAACTAATTCTAGAAAAGAGCTTCATCTAGTTTCTTGGACATGATTTTGGGTTTGAGTCTATTATGTAACTAGGAATTATGATTTTGTACTCTGGATATACCTAATGAATTATGGTCCTTTAACCTCTTTGACATCTGCTGCTTGTTAGATTTACAATGTTCAAGTTTTCTGTAGTGAACCATGACCAACCATGCCTAGGCACAACCTTTGGATTCTCTAAAAGGAAGATGGGGTCCCACAACAATTCTACTTGGATTGTGGTAATGCTACCAGACTGATACACACCATCCAAAGATTGACTTTGTATTACAAATGGCTCAGGACAGTTTCAACATGGCTAGCTGAGATAACCCATTCTCACAGACTACCCTAGCTAGGACTTGAGATAAGCCCTACACATTCCCATTATGCAGAGACTGAACCACAAATGATTCAGCTACCTTTTCCAGGACTTGATAAATATTCCTATTTTTTTTTTAGGGTCCCCTAAAGTTGCCATCACTCTCAGAGAGCAGGAAGTAATTTTAAGAACATGAAACTCACATTCCCAAGTAGTTTGGCAGATGGTTTTTGGTCAGTGGGCAATGGATATTTGTCATTGTTTAAGGGATTTGGTTACAAGTTGTTACTGGTAATGGTCAGGAAAAAAACTGAACAGAGGAGGTTAGATTCAGGGTTTTTGTTCTAAAAAGAAAAAGGGAGGATATAGAAATATGAGGATAAAGGGTACATTATCAAGTCTACTCTGAGAGAAGGGGATATAGCTGAAACAGGAAAATAGATAATTAAACCTACTATAAACCAAAAAAAGCAACTACTAGTCGTAAGTATTTTACATTGTATTGGATTTTTGTATATTGATAACAAGTTGGAGGTTATTTTTGTTAGAACATACTATTCATACATATCACTCTGGTTTAAGATATTGTACCTATATTGTTCATTTAACGATGTAATACAAAATTCTAGTCCTTGAAAATTATTACATACTATGACAATAAAGTAATGCAGGTAAATAGTCACCTATTAAATCGGAACTTGTATTCATCTTAGGTTGTTTTCAAGATCAATTATATTTTAGATAGGTGATCTTCAAACACTTCAGAGATCTGCAGAATATGGTATTTATGATGTTTTAATAACATAAATTCCCTCTTTAATGACAATGAGAAATATCTGTTCCTGGCAGCACCAATGTACTTCAGAAAAGACGAGCATTGAGGATACTCCATATGGAGTTTACTTTCTTTGTGGTAAAAGTTAGCCATTGGTGAAGAAGCTACCCTTGTGTCAACTGCTGACAGTTATGTCCAAATTGGACAGGCAGGACACAGAAGAAAGCTGTTCAACTTTGCGAAGACAAAGTAGAATAGCCCTTCAGAGTTATCCTGCTCCACAGAAAAGTATGTTAGATATGCTAAGCTTATAGGCCGAAGATAAATGCTCCAACATTATAGAGGAACCTTGTGTGACTGTCCAGGCAACCTGCTGTTTCTGTCATTTCTCACAGGTTTTAGAAGTTGCTTGCTTGCACTTCCTGTTTACTTAGGTAATATTTCCTTTGAGGGTCTCTGATGGAGTTGAAGACTAGAAACTCACAAAGGAATGTAAGATGTATAAAGTTTAGAGATATAAGAAGATAGCTTTGGGTAGGTAATACAAATTAGGATGAAAGGTGAATTAGTTGCAACCCTTTGAACTCATGAAGATTGGATAAATAATGGAGTATTTCCTCTCAATTTGTCAAATGCAAATGGACTGGACATTGTTAATGTACTTTTTGATGCTCTATATTGTGTATAGTTGTTGGCCTTATTGTATATAGTTTATGTTAGTTATAACCTTTGCTTTTTATTTAGATAAAAGGGGGAAATGTTTGATATTTTGTGTTCTGACAAATAAATCTTGCCTGGAAATTAGAGGGTGGAGCTAGCAACTAGTTAACAAATAGCCATAGAGGTCTGTACAGATAGGAGACAGGAGTAATAAGGCAGAGTGGGGAGAGCGGAGGTGATTAGGGGTTGGAGACAGGATCTCAGCCCTTTTGACCAGAGAATTCAGAGAGGCAAGAAGTCTGGTGGCTGCTGCTCTGCTTCTCTGATTTTTCAGTTTTTATCCCAATATCTGACTATGGGCTTTTATTGAGAAGAGTAATTAGGATCACACTTCACAGGGCTGGCAGGCAGAGAGAATAAATAGGAGAACCTTGGGAAGAGAGGAAGGAGCAAGAAAAGGGCTACCCACCCACTTATACAGCTAGACATAAATTCAGAAGAAAAGAAAAGATGTAGAAAAATAGAGAAAGGTAAGGCAAATAGTAGACATAATTTAAGCAAAGCTGACAAGAAACAAGCTAAGGCCAGGCATTTAAAAGTAATAATAAGTATCCCTGTGTGTTTATTTGGGACCTGGGTGGTGGGCCCCCAAAGGAGCCCAAAGAGTATAACAACTAACTACAAGCACCCATGTTAGATGGATCACAATGTTTTTGTAAGTCGTTTCAGGGGACCTGACACCTTTGTTGCTGTGTGGGTGTTGGGTTCACACAGTTCTGTGGTAAGAAGACTCAGACAAGAATGAATTTAGCCTTTCACAGCTGCAGGGTAATACCTCTAAGGACTGAAGCACTTTTCCTTTTCTCAGGACATTTTAATTTTTCTCTATATTTATGCTTTATCCAGTTGATTTCCATAAGCTCAACACAATCTGAATTAAGTTTCCAAAAATAGAATGCCACGAGCAAATTCTCAATTCATAAAGTACCACAGTTTTCCTGGTTTCTCAAACCAAGTTTTGCATAGGCTCCGTATTCTTGGGAAACTCCTAGACAAGATTCAAATAGAGTAAGAAGAGAAACAGCGGGTGTCTGCGAAACAAAATATTTATTAGCGCTAAGTGCTAACATTCTGGAGCCCAGCCAGAATGCTGTCGCATGGCTTCCTCCGAAGTACATTCACATGGTGAAGAAACATATAATCAACAACGTGCATACACACTATTTAAAATGAGTAGGTTTTTTTTTTTTGTATAACTTGTTTTTTTTTCTTTCTGTATTCCAAGTTCCTCTATATGATAACTTCTTAGACTGTGTGGATGGTAGCTCTATAGAATTTGTTAGCGTTTACTTGAGTGTCACGTTTGAAAAGTTTCCCTTTTCTAAGATTACAAAGGAGGTGAAGGTTGGATATTGAAGGTGAATAGCGATTGGTAGAACTGATTCGGAGTAAATTCAAAGCCAACTTCCTTTGCACAAGTCTGTGTTCCCTGGGAATTCTGGATAGTGAGCTTCTGGTGGCCTGTGCTGGAAGAGTCACTTCCGGCCGGGTGTGCGAGGCTGTGGCCTGCATTCCTCTCAGAAAGGTGAGCCCTTCCTCTGCTCTCTCCTCGCATCTTCCCGGGTTTTCCTGATAGTTTTCAGGTTGTCCGGGGCGATAGGCAGCAGGCGTGGATGCTGGGAAGGAAATCCGCCTCAGAAGGGCAGAAGGCGAGTTTGCTGTGAATGAGCCTGCTGGAGTGTGCTGCGCTTGCGCACATTGACTCAGATCTGGCCGGGGCTGTCAGTCACCAGGATGGAGGGTGTCGTGGGTGCCGGGAGCCCCAAGCCATATCTCGCTACTGTATATAGAGCTGTATATACCCACCCACCTACAAATGAACAAATGTATACAACTGTCTATAATGGGTCTGATGCCCTTTTTGGCATGTGTGCAGACAGAGCACTCATACCTAAAAAAGTACATAAATAAAATTAAGAAAAAAAAAGATATCCCCATATGCTAAGTTAGGTGGTCCATTATTGAGATTCTGTTTCCAGGGTATTCTGGTTTGTGGCAAGTTGGTAATTAAAACCAACCATCACATCAATAAAGCAAATGCATCGCTTTAAAAGATTATAGATTTGGGCTAGTTAAGGTGGCACATGCCTTTTATGTCAGCACTTAGAACATGAATTATGATTGATAAAAAGTCAGAGAGAAATTGGGGTTCACCTCCTGGTTTCTGTGGTAAACTAATGTGGCTACTGGATTAGAGGTTTATGTTATTGCTGTGTGGTCTTTCAGGCTGGCCAGTGTGAGACTGGTTTACTTTTCTGATCCTCAGGCAAGTTTTAATAGAATACAAGTGAAATGCCACTGTGTTCCCCTTTTCATCTAAAACAAAAAAGAAAACTTTACTATAAGAAGAGCTATATATAATAAGTGCAATAACCATATACAATTTATACTGGCAGTAAATGTGTAGGAGGAGGGACTGCTTGTTCGTCCTGGCAGCGTGACTAGCTTAGCCCCAAAATAACCACACAGAAACTTAATTAAGTCACTGGTGGCCCATTAGCTCTAGCTTATTATTGGCTAACTCTTACATCTTAATTTAACCCATTTCTATTAATCTGTGTATAGGCACGAGGCAGTGGCTTACCAGGTAAAATTTCCAGCATCTGTATCCAGCAGATCTATGTTATTTCTCTGACTCCACCCTTCTTTTCCCCAGCATTCAGTTCCATCTTCCCTGCCTATCTAAGTCTGGCCTATCAACAGACCATGGCTGTTTCTTTATTCATTAATGGTAATCACAGTACATAGAGGGTACTCCCACATCATAAATGCATCAATAATGTCTAGTTCATTTTTGACAAATTCAGAGAAAATACTCCATATTATCCTATCTTGGTGAGTC